AATTGGCTAAACAAATTGTTTTTTATAACCATATATTCACACTTCATAATGGAATTTTTATTTAACTGAAGCACATTTATTTTAATTACTAAGATTAGCATATGTTCATACTGAAAAAAACATTTTTTCACTATATGAATTTCATTTACTGATTTAGAGAAATGTTCAATAAAATTTAAAGCTCTGCTTATAACTATATTTGCTCCACAAGACCACTATTACCAAATTAATAATATTGAAGATGAATAAGATATATAATATTGTACTTTATTTCAAAACAAGAAAAAGAACTATTTATAAACCCAAAGGTAAATATGATCTAGAAACACTTGCTTTTGCTTTTTAATATATTTTCCTTGTAATATCACATCGTCTAAGTATTAATAATGTTCAGAAGAAACCAATTTAGCAGCACAAATACTTCCTTTTCTCTAATAATAATGATTCTCTGATTTCCAATCTCAATGAATTACATTGAAATTACTCTTCCAGGAGTGAGAACTCGTTAAAATTAATATATATGAATAATATTCTAAAATTTAATTTTCAAAATGAAAATAATTTTATAGTGAGGTAGTTTTTCTTGGACTTTTAATTAAATTTCTCCTATAAGGATTTGGAAATATGATTTTAACAATAATTAAAATAGGTTATTTATATTCATGGCTTTTGTTGCCTCAATATGATAGGGTCATGCATATTTTTAGTTATCGTGAATCTTAAGTGGACTTTAGAATACAACTCGATGTCCAAAGAGCAGAAAGGAAAATAATTTTAAAAATCATATTTAGCTCATTTACATAAAACATGGATCGATATCCATTGTTTTCTGTGCAGATTCATCTGACAAATGCTTCTCATTTTAACATCAATTATTTTGGCAAATCCGTAAAGAATAATAGGCCCTTTCTTCTTCCTATTTCACATTGTCCATTATATCATTAGGATCTTATGTACTGTTATAGTTTATTCACCACCAGAGAAACTATTCGGTATTTACTCGTGTGTGACTTGTGAAACAGGAAGAAGAAAGGGGCTAAAGGTGTAGGGAAAGTGAGAAGGGTAGGGGAAAGGGAATAAGGGAAAAGAAAAAAATATGAGAAAACGAAAAAATGGAAATGAAGTGTCTGTAAAGGGGGAGGGAGGAGGGATGAAGGGAGGGCAGGGACAAGGGGGAAAAATGAGAACCATGACCTGTCATGTGAAGGTACGGGATCCCAATGATGAATGTAACTGTACTGTATCCCTAAAATGTACCAATAAACTCAATGAGAAAAAAAATAAATAAATTTGAGAAATCTAAAAAAAAAAGAGTACAGAGCAACTAACCATGTTAAGCAAGGCCAGTGGTGCAGTAAATTAATGCTTATTCTGCAGTTTAACTTGGTGGGCTGTTAATACCTTTCAACATCTCTACTCTGCAATTTGAGCAAACCTCATATGACGGTGATGAGATATACTGTACTCTACATCAATTTTACTAAGACACAATTTATGTACTCGAACTTTTATTGTAACAGCTGAACTAGAATGCAATAAAATAACAATAACATACTATTAAAATGTCTTTATATTTGCTTCAAATACTTGTAAAAAAAGATTGATAGGGATATCTAAGTAGGACAGTAGACATAATAAAATATGATAGATACAGTAAAAATCTATTATTGTAAGTGATAACCTAATTCAGGAAATATAATCTTTGCTACTTTGGTTCACACAGAATCTTGAACTACACAAAAAGTGAGGTTAGAGAAATTATTAGCTAGTTTAACCAATAACATTTTTAGAAGTTCTTGAAAAAAAACCTCAAAATAATACACAAATTCTGGTACATTGGTAGCTAATAGATGATCTGTCATGCATTTCAGAAGTTAAAAGAATTACCACAGAGGATGACTTCAAATTTTTAGAAAAACAAATTGAATCATACAAAGACATTGGCTGAATTTTTTTTTCACATTTTAGATTATTGAATGTACTATAATGATTATGCCAAACAAGACTAAGGAATTTTCTGTCCTTATTGAGCTTATCCTACTGATAGAGACATAATTTTAAAAAACAAAAAATACAATTTTCATTACTGGGAACATAAAGAAAAGAAACCAGGATAAAGTAGAGATGGTACTGTAGGCGGAATTTATAGCACAGTAACCAATAAAAATCAAAGTGAAATTAAGAGAACACAGTGCTTCAGAAAAATATGTCAGCAAGAGAGGAGAAAACTATGTCAAATTAGAACAAATAATAAGCCATTCTATTTGCAGTGGGGGTTATATTTGTGATAGCAGGGCTTTAGCATTTTACAGAAAAGCTTGGCGGAAGTAGGATGAAGCAAGAGGAGAGTGGAGAGGGTCATCAGTTCGAAGGAGCTTTGCCTAGGCAAAGAAAAGGCTAAGTTGTGTTGTAGCTAGTGGCACATGTGGAATCAAGAAAATTTGTCTTCTGCTAGGTTGATTACTTGCTTTTTGAAAATGAGACTTACTATAACATGATTTGGAGCTATGCGCAAATAATCTGACAATAAAATCGTCGTATTAAAAAGAAATAGGATAATTTCAGGAATGAAGTCCTTAGATGAAAGAGAACACCTGATTCAAATGTGTTGATATAAATAGGAAGGAAACCTAAGTCATAAGCAGTGGTACTGGGATGAGAGACTGGGAAGGTGGGAAGAAAATAAAGGTGCAGATCCATAGAATAAATGGATGGAGAAAACTCCTCTTTGTATTAATGGGTATATATCAATGGAACAACAGGGCGTATTGACTGAAAAATCTAAAGGGTGAAAGCATGTGAAGGTTAACAGTTTGATGAAAATGGAGGTGAAAAAATAGACCTTCTACAGAGTAGAAATTCAAACATTACCAAAACCAATTGTCATGCATTCAATCTTTGCTGTCACAAATTGAAAGTATAACCAATCAAAATAATCTTTCTTTTGTACGCACTTTCCATATTCCTTATCTGTTTATCATACATATTATATTCTCACTTGTGTTTCAACCATCTACTTTTTAGATTTAGATGAGCATAATAAAATATGAATTTCATACAAAATCACTTAGTAAAAAGTACTAATATAATCATTGTCTTACACTTTTAATGGATCAGGAAATGCTCATTTCATTGTTGGAAATATCCACAAAATAAATAGATTCTCAATGGGAATCTGAAATGAACAGACATTTCTCAGACAAAAACATAAAAGCAGCAAGTAAATATATGAAAAAATGTTCCACATCACTAGTCATTTGAGAGATGCAGATGAAAACAACACTGAGATTCCACCTCACCCCACAAAGAATGGCTGCTATCAAGAAATCACTCAATAACAAACGTTGGTGCGGTTGTGGGAAGAAAGGAACCCTTCTCCATTGTTGGTGGGAGTGCAGACTAGAGCACACACTATGGAAATCAATATGGAGATACCTCGAAGAGCTGGGACTGGAGGTTCCATTTGACCCAGCCATCCCTCTGCTGGGTATCTTCCAAAAGAATTAAAAGAATCATATCACAGTGATATCTGCGCACCTATGTCTATAGCGGCACAGTGTGTAATAGCTAAAACTTGGAAACAGCCCATTTGCCCATCAGTTGGAAATTGAATAAAGAAGATATGGTTTTTCTCAGCCATAAATAATGAGAAATGGATACATGTTGAGGATATATTCCTAAGAAAAATAAGTCACACATGTGTAAATACAGAATAGTTTCTCTGGTGTGAACAAACTATAATAGTATGTAAGATCCTAATGAGATAATTGACAATGTGAAATAGGAAGAAAAGGGCTAAAGGTGTAGGGAAAGTGGGAAGGGTAGGGGAAAGGTAATAAGGGAAAGAAAAAAAATAGGAGAAAAATGAAAAAATGGAAATAAAATATTTGAAAATGGGGAGGGGAGGAGGAGGTGAAGGGAGGGCAGGGACAAGGGGAAAAAAGGAAACCAAGACCTGTCGTGTAAAGATACAAGATCCCAATGATGAATGTAACTGTAGTGTATATGTAAAGTGTACCAATAAATTCAATGATAGAAAAAATAAATAAATAGATTCTCCTTCTAAAAAGGATATTGACTTATGTATGGGTGCTGTCCAGAATGCCTTTCACATCATTTGGGGACATAATTATTAGAATTTTGGAAAACCAGCTCCATTTATTAAGATGAACTACTCTTCCTCTTAAATATTGATGTGCTGCTCCAATTATGTTTAAAATTTATTTTCAAACATGACCTGAAATTGTCTGTACCTCTGTCTACATATCAATTCTTTCAAAGAAGTCCAAGAAGATGTGAAAAGTCCAAGAGACTTCAAAATAATCAAGAAAATTAAACATTAGAATTATTATTAAATTTTTAAAAATGTTTCCTAAAAGTTAGAATAAAATCAAATATTGATATAATATACTTGAAAAAATAAAATGTGAAAAAATAATGGCAAATACAGTATATTCCTCCAAAGACTTTTATGGCTGGATAATCACGTCTGTCCTAAATATGTTTTGTTTTCACATAAGACCAGAAATACAGTACAGTAGTTGAAATATTTAGAGAATAGTATCAGTGCACACAAAATCTGGTAATCAAATATATGAAACTATGGCCAAAACACCCACAAAAGTCTGTATGTTGACGACAATTAAGCAGAAAATAAATTATTAACTTTGTGATTAATCAACTTCCCTTTCCATGAGTCATCAGCTTTTTCAAAAGGTTACACTTCTTTCACTGTTTGGCTAATTTATATTTCTCAAATCAATATACAACTAGGGCCTACACTAATGGTTCTATTTACTTTGGGCAATAATTCTGCCTATTTACCTATGATTGATAACTAAGTATGAACACTGAACCTCGAGTCAGGCTGTAACCAGAATTGGCCCTTCCTTTTCTAGCCAGAGGGACTGAACGGAAGAGGCAGACACATTTCACTTTGAACAGTGAACCTCAATTCTTTCTGGCCTCCCAGTGAAACAGCTTTATTGGCCACTCACAGAAAATCTTGCGATCTACACAGAAGCTATTCACTTTCATCAAAATGTTTTGTGGGGACTATGTAAGTACAATGGTTTTTTCTATAAGTTTTCCAGTCTTTGGAGATTTAAGTATTATTTATAAAATTTATTTTGTATTACTTGACAGTTTCAACAGGAACTATTGGTGATTTCATTAAATTTTCAATTATAGTTATTGAATGTAACTATTCAAAGGGACTAATATTATTAATTCTTAAGTTGCTGTGAATATCTTTTGCCACAAAGACAATTTAATTCCATTTCTTAAGTAACTAGACTCAGAATTTTGACTGGAATTATAACATTTTGTCTCCATATTTATTTCTCTCTATAAGAAATAATTTTACTAGTAATTTTTATTTGAAATTCATGACCTCTTCAGATTAAACTATTTTTTTCAGCTTTAATTGAGTTTATTGGTACATTTTAGGGATACAGTACACTTACATTCATTGTTGGGATCTTGTACCTCTACATGACAGGTCTTGGTTCTCATTTTTTCCCCTTGTCCCTGCCCTTCCTTCACCCCCTCCTCCCCTCTAGACTATTTTAAATAATTATCTTAAGCAATGCATAATTCAATTTATCATTTCATTTTTACTTGTCTGAATCATTTCAATCCAATTGCTCTCATGGCTCGCTAAATTTTGAAGTGTTGACATAATTATCTAAGTATATATTATCCATAAGTTATCCATTTCATATGCTCCCGAAAATGATGTGTATATTTATGCTAACAATGATCTTTTTGACCCAGTTTTATAAAAATAGGTTTTCCGGAACATTTTATGTTAAAAACCCATTATTATTTGATCAAACTTTGAGCCACCAAAGTTATGTTTACCTATTCACAAAGTATTAATTCCTATAAAGTTTTATTTAAATGTTTCTTTCTAAATAAATATTGAATAAGGACTTAAAAGGTGGCTATTATTAGTTTAACAATTTTAACTTCATATGAAATTTCAAGAATTTTGGCTTTTAAAGTTATTATCATAGTTTTATTAATTGTGGACAGTTACATTTTACTACCGAGAAATAAAAAGTGTCAAGGAATTTAGTCCAGCATATTAAATTACTTAATTTGTAAAAATCTATAGTTTTCTCCTTTTCTATTCCTTTAAGTAAATTTATTTGGAAATAATATTATGTTCTGCATAATACATATATATATATATATATATATATATTCTTATAATAATGTTTATGTCAATTTACCAAAAGAAAGACTTGTACAGTATTTAATTTATATTTCAGAGATTGTTAAAAGTTACAATGACAACAAATTTTTTAATTGTTTATTGGTACATTATAGGTATACAGTACAGTTACATTCATCATTGGGATCTTGTACCTTTACATGACAGGTGTTTTTTCTCATTTTTTACCCTTGTTCCTGCCCTCCCTTCACCCCCTCCTCCCCTCCCCTTTTACAAACACTTTATTTCCATTTTTTTCATTTTCTCCTATTTTTTTCTTTTCCCTTATTCCCTTTCCCCTACCCTTCCCACTTTCCCTACACCTTTAGCCCCTTTCTTCCTATTTCACATTGTCAATTATCTCTTTAGGATCTTATGTACTATTATAGTTTTTCTCACCAGAGACAACAAAATTTTTTTAAAAATATAGTTGCTATGCTTTAGAGCAGATAAAGAAAAATAGATGTTAATGAGTTGGATTTAACTATGCTTCCTTTTAAGCATTTTTCAATAGCTGCATTAAATACAAATTTTATGTTTTATGTATACTCTCAGAAAGTATAGAGAGTAAATTGATTTTAAATAGTCAATATTATATTTTAAAGTAATTTTCTAAAGTAAGATATATGGTCCAAGTGTTAGAACTTGGTGCTATTCAGAGACCCATGTTTAAGGCCAAATTGATCTCTTTAGCCTCTATTTTGTGTCTGTGTCCACAAGTGAGACAAGCTCTTTACAGGCAAAAAATGTCTCACTACATACTATAAGTGACTATTGCCCGGCTTCTTGGGTTAAAAATAGACCCCTACACCCTCACATATGATGATTGAATGTACCTATTTGATAAAAAGGCTTTACCATTTTTTAGATCGATTGAAGTAGTTTATTCTTACTGATTATACAGTATTAACAATTAAATATATATCAAGGAATAAGAAGAACCAAATAAGAGTATTTACATTTCTCTTGGAAATAAGCATATGTAATATTATTAAATTACCTTCTAGAATTGCTCTGATTGTTGTAAAGAAATTGTTTGCAGATTTCGTCCTGGGTTTTATCAGTGGGTCTTCCCATTTGCTTATAGTCGCATTTTATTTAATACAGATTTATTTATATAATTAATGTTTTCTTTTGGCTTTGAAGTAGACTTTAATCTTAGTCCTTTTTCCATATTTTTGGTAATTTTCCATATCTCTGTCATATTAATTTATTTTCAAAAAAAATATTAGTCATAGCAGTATTAAAAGCTACACACATTGATGTCACACATCCGTGTATTCCACATCTAAAGTAACATTATGCATTGTACATAAAGAAATATAATTTCTAAGTATGTACGCAAGAAAGCTCCTGTATTACAATCTGAATTTTGCAGATATTGTCTAATTTAATGCTCACCTCAAAATACTTTATAAGAATATCATTTAACATACAAAGGTTTTGAAATCCTTGACTATATTCTATTCATTTTTATCCACATAACTTTTAGCTCTTACAACATTCATCAAAAGTATTATCATACTCATTTCTAAATAAAATACCGAATCTCAGAAATATACTGCTTTCTCATCTCCGACAAAAAGCCAGAAAATCGTAGAAATATGATCTTATTTAACTGCAAAATGAGAGTGGGGGGAACACTAAATATAGTTATTCTATGTGGTGATTTCCGGCTTCACATTACAAAGGAAAGGGGATTGTGAAGCTAATTAAGATATGTATAATCGGCAGCAGTAAGACCACAAAGATGCACGTATCCTCTAAGTCAAGGAGTCTGCTCCTAAGATGACTGAAGTGTGCCAGAGTCAGACAACTGCAAAATAGACAACATACTACAGAGGGGACAGTCAGCAAGTTACAGGAAACAGGATGCAAGAAATTTTTTTTTTTTTTTTTTTTTTTTTTTTTTTTTAGCAATGAACTACGCATAGACAGGAAAAACACTCTCTAGGTCAGAAACATCAGCAGGGCAACTGATTTAGGGATGGTTACAGCCTGAGAAGATAGGACATGGGAGCAGAGGCTTGGTAAGAAAAGGTTATTTCCATAGTAGTTTTTTTCCAGTAGAAAGATATTCCTGAGAGGCAAAACTTTCATGCATCCAAGAAACCTAACTTTGATTGTTTATCTGCGATATGACTTACTGAACAAATATTATTAAAAGGTTATTCATACTTTATAGATTGCTTTCTCACAATCATAAGACTACACTGACTGAACTTTACACACTTTGATTCAACAAAAGTTAGGTTGAAACTGGTTATGGCTTCAACCTTTATTGAAGCGTCTGTGGAACTAAGTATTGAACTGAAAAAATTAAATGGAGTAGCTTTTTTCTTTAAGTGGTGTATAAGCATGTTGCTAATTTTGGTGAAGGCTGGGAGTCTGTTACAGCAACCACTGATTGTGATGCAGGGGCTCAGCAAACCTGAGTCCAGAGCAGTGGCTAAACATATAGTCAAACTCAGTCTTATTAGGTAGGATCCTGGATTTAGAGGACAATTTTCTTACTTTTCTGCATCTCAATACTTCCATTAAGAGACTTGATAATAGTACCTATCTTACAATGGTTGCTTAAAAATTAATTGACTGATAAAGCACTTGAAAGAATACTTGGAGCCTGTAAAGCATCCACAAGAGGTGCATTATTATTCAGCTTTGTAAAATACCAATGTCAAAGCTTGATTGCAACTCTACCTCAAAACCCATGGCTTTTAATAGTCCAAAACACTGCTTTTAGAGGGAAGGCATGAGGTTTATTCTATTACTAATGAGCCTCTCTATAGATAGACAGATAGATAATAGATAGAGGTAGATATATAAATAGATATAAATATATACAGAAAGTGAGGTTATAGAATTACAATTATCCCAGTTGTTTGAGTACATTTGAATAGCATCAAAATTTTCATGCATGGAAATATATTTTTCCTAAACTCCACATAATCTTTACTTATAAATGAATTATACCATGCTAAAAATTTCATATATTCACTTCCTCACCAGTTACTGCCACCTCTCTTCCTTTTTTAACACAAAAGTCTTCAAAATTATTTGCATTCATTATATCTGATTCCTATCTTCCACTTCTCTCTGAATCCATTCTAATTGAGTTTCTCTCATAAAATGCCTAACTTTGACTCTAAAGGTGATTAATGACCACTTTATGTCTGAATACTATGCCCAATGCTCACTCATCTTACTAGAAATTTGAGGGTTATTTTGCTCCTAGTATTCTGGGGCTAAATTCTGGGGGTTTTTATTGGTACATTTTAGGTTCACACTACAGTTACACTCATCATTGGGATCTTGTACTTTTACATGAGGTATCTTGATTCTTATTTTTCCCCATTCCCCTGGACTCCCTGCACCCCCTCCACCCTTCCCTACTTACAAAGGCTTTGTTTCCATAAGGTAAGAAGGGAAAACAAAAAATAAGAGGAAAGGAAAAACGTGGAAACAAAGTCTGGGGCTAAATTCTTAAAACTCCCCTTTTCTCTGTTTTAATCACTCCCTTTGTCATTACATCCAATATTCTGGTTCTTATTACAATCTATGAACTGGGAATTTAAAATCTACATCTCAGCCTGGCACCTATGTCCAAACCCATTATTAAAGTAGCCAAAAATCTACTCCATCAATAGAAATTTTATCTCTTATTATTACAGAAAAATAATGCATCACTGGATGTAAGAAATAAAAACTGGAGTCAGGGATAGTTCTTTCTCTTTCTTTTTATACAGTCACTCTTTATCAACTTCATAAAATAGCCCCCAGGTTGGTCCTACTACTTCCGCTCTTACAACTACTTTCAGGTACTGGGAATATAGTGGTAAAAA